ACTATCTGAGATTGTCTTACTAGTTATTTTACACTGCATATGTTATGTTACTGAAAATTTACATTCAATTACAGTACATTCAATACTTACAACAGAATGCTTGTTACCAACAATGTATGTAAATCTATTTGCAATATGCTACAATACCAGTTTATGTTAGTTTTAGTGCCAAAATGACATGGTGGTAAAATTCCAATATATCAAGGGGCTTTTGCAAGTTTATTTTTTATGTGGTCTATTTCAGCTTTTGTCACTTTGTTAAAGTTTGAACAGATTTGCTCTTGCAGGTGATTGACTTTTTCTAACAACTTTTTCCCTACATCACATTTTTTGCTTAGCTTTTCTTTTCGAGAAAAGGATGGTGGTGGCTCTTATCTCCATTTTATCATTGAACAAAATATGTGTAAAAATATTTTTAAAGAGCTTCTTTTGTGAAATCATCTGCAACTCTGTATTTGGCACCTTTTGGTAGGTTTTTGAAGTGGGATTTCATAAATTCTTTATCCTGAAAGGTACCTTTGCAATAATTAGCCTTGGTTGCACTTTCTTTTTGATTCTTTGCAGTATTAGGGCGTGTAGGTATTCTGTAACTCTCTCTTAAGTTCATCCTCGATTCAAATGATACATTATGGACTGTGCAACAGACCAAACAACTGACCGACCAACTGAAGGGTGCAGTTTTATGGAAAACTGTTGTAAGGCTATGTGATTGACAGATGATATCTTATTTCAGAGATGTATTTCAAGCAGCACTCAGGAAGGTGCCAGGCATAACTAAAGAATCAGACAAAAGGTGGTGCCTTGGTCTCTTGTCAGTTACTACTCCCCACTTATCCATTTTCTTATTTTATTGAGTAAATTTTTTTTCCTGAAGTTCCCAGTTACACTGTAGCCTTTTTTCAATAATGTATCAGTCAATAGTTTTTTAAATGAGCTTTCCCTTAAATGATGCATTGTCATAGAAACCCTTTGTAACACAATACCACTCATATGCAAGAGATGTTTGCATTCTCTTGCGATCTTTGTGAGCTTGTGCTGCCTGTTATTTAACATACCGGCAAATATAATTTGCATTTTGACCATTTCAACACGTGTTTGGAACACCCCAGAACATCAAAAAATTATAATTATGAGAAAACATGTTCCAGCTTATATCGACAGCAGTTGTGCCTTTCCTTAATAACATTTAATTTACTGACTGATCAAGCTTTCAGCTTAGTTCTAAGCTGTTGGGCTTCTTGTTTCCAAGATGTGATTGAAACTCTGATTTGTGTTTGTTGTTTGAAAATGTTGAAAAATGTCCTTGACATGAAAACAAAGCAATCATGTAATATGCAACTATCTATCAAATGAGAATGTAGCAAATATAGAACTGCATGTCAAACAAAGCTGTTGTTTTTCATTGCAGATTAATAGAAGCTTTGATGGCTACCTTCAAAAGGCGCATGCACTTCCAGTTGCTGTGTTTTCAAGTGGATATGGAGGAACTTTAACCCTGACAGTTAAACTGAAGTATCACAGTAAAAATGAAGTATTGAAAGTAACTCTCTTGTCATGAAAAAAATATTATTTTAAATAGTTTAAAAAACATAATTAATATGTAGCTTATTGAAAGCTAAAGTCTTGGTAAATGCATGGATGTTATGTCATTGTTGACCTCACAAAGAATTAATTACGACAAGTTTAATGAAAAGACAAAAGCAGGGGGTTTTTTGTCAAGCAAGGTTGTTTTATTTTGAATGCAATTTGTGTGAGAGGTTTACTGACTCAATAAGAATTGCAGTATTACACTCATCTCCTCAGTTCTTATTATCTTATTGCTACTTATTTTCATGGGAACTTAATTTTGCAAAAAATAAAACGGGCATATTGCTACATTCATATAGGTGAAAAGGAACAAAATGTCACAAAAATTGTCGAAATAGTGATCTTTATTATGAAATAGTTAGTCTCATACACTGTAATTGGCTCAATTGATTTCCCATAACAATAGTTTCCAGTGACATTGAACAAAACCATATAACAACATAAAACTGAAAACATTTAGACATGCTCCTTTGTAACAAAGCAGGGCTTTACAGATTACATGACACTGTCTATTTACACTTACAACAGAGCTAAGGACATTGTTAACTTGTCAACTTCTTCAAATAGATCCTGGGAGGAATAGCTGACTCATCCTTTACAATCCCAACATTTACTGCTTTATCCTTAGGCAGCATAGTGCTTTTCCTCATTGCTAGTCAAGGGGTTGTAAAGGCTTGATTCCAATGTTGATTGTGGAATTATATAGCAGCTAGGGCATTAAATTTCATGTGGTTAATCTTTGCAAAATTATTTTTCGCGGGTCTGTAATTTTGCAATTGTTTGAAAATCACAAAAGTTAAGTCTCGTGAAAATAAGTAGCAATAAGGTTAGACATGATCAGTAATAAAGTACATTTTTTACTGTTTAATATGTGGGTGCTTGTTTGCTTCTTGTCCTCCTGTTCCTTGTATTTTCATGAGAAGGTAGGAATTTAGAATGAGAATGTGAACTGTGCAATGAAGATGTGATCATCACATTTGTAATCCTAATTTAAGCAAATTGCAGGTTAAGCATCAAAAAAGACTTTTTCCAGATCATATTTTGTGCTTGATTTGAAATGGCTAACATTGCAATAACAACTGCGATGGTTGCATCTTCATTTCATTTGTATTTCTGCATTTCACATCATTCTCACTCTCGTGTTTTGTTCCTTTCCTTTTCTCAATAAATAAGCCAGCTCCCAAATTACTATCTAAGGATCTTCATCAGTCAGTAGAACACTAAAGTATAAGCCACAGGTTAAAATCCTTTTGAGGACCAGAGAATGATTTTAACAGGGCTTCATTTGCAGTAATTGCTTAATTTGAAAACAAATTATGGTTATCACATCTTCATTTCGAGATAGTGATTGTTGCCAAAGCCTGAGGTATTAAAAATGCATAGGGCTGAAGTTAGACAACAAGTCCTCTAAATAATGACACAACACTAAATGGAGTGACCTTTTATTAATTTAAACACTACTTGTTTCTAATAATAAATCACTTTTCCTGAGTGATCTCCTTCCATGGATATTGAAATGCATCTGTTGATTTTCTGTCCTTTCGTCTCCATAACTTCTTTTTTTCCCTGGTTCGTACATTTTCACACCATGCACTCACAGCATACTTTTCTTTCCATTCGATGATGAACTGACAACCATAAAACAATAAGTAGTCTTAAAGGTGTTGTTATTCCACTTTGTGAGACCAGGTGGAAAAATAGCAAAGGCGTGTAACAATTACATGACTAGCTCAACTGGGTGGGTGTGGCCAACACAGGGCAAATCATGTTCTTTCCTAACATTTTAGTAAGGAATGGAAACGATATGTTAAAAATTCGAAAACTGATTTCCAATTTCCAATGTTAAGATATCCAAAACTTCACGTTTAAGCAAAATGGTGTACAGACTTAATTGCCATTCAGATACAACTTGTAGATATGTATACATGTGTGCTCATCAGTTCATTCAACAATTTTGGGGTTTTAGAGTACTTTTGATCGTTCTTTTGCAGTCCTCTTGGGAATTGAATTATCGAGTAATATTTCTAACTCTCTGTTTGAAATTTTGGAGGGAACATTGTCAACTTGCAGACAACCTCTGGCCACTGCACACTAATAGCTGATAGTGTGCAATAGCTCACCCAACCAGATTGCATTTATTTAGTATTCTAGACTTCTACTAGACTGGTAATAAAAAAATTAAGTAATTATCCTTAGTATAACATGGTTATGTATTCATTTATTATTACAAGTGTATTATTTACATTTAAGTTCATACTAAATTTGTTTCACAACAATACATCGAATGTGAGATGGTTGATAGTAAATGAGGCATGATACACCAAGTTGGCTCTAGTCATCATCCAACAAGCACAAAATATCACAGTCTCTCCTATATTATTTTAGTTTTATTTTGCTGGCAATCTTTGTCAGGCATGGTTTAATTTACAATTATTCTGGAAGCACAAGTTGGATATAAAATGATAGATAGCACATTGCCAGAAGAGGCATGTAGTACCAAGTTGGCTATAATCATCTCATATCCAACAAGCACAAGTGGGATAATTGTTTTATTAAAATGGAAATATAGTAGCATAAAAATAAAACTCGCCCCAAAAAAATGCCAAGTTCAAATAAACCCTGGGTTTACAAGAAGATTTCCAGCATTTAATTAATCAAGAAATCCCGGTATATGTTAACACTTTTACATGTATCAATGGATAACAGATTCAAATGATTTGAATGCCTATTATTAACTTTTGTTTCATAATGTCTTAGAGAATAATGCACATGTCAAATTGTTTTAAGGACTTGGAATTTTTCTGGAAAATGTGAGTGGTATTTAGAATCTTATGGAATTTGTGAGCCAGGAAAAAGAATCCAGTGCCAAACCTTTGTGAGTAAACATTTCTCTGTTACAGTTTTGACTGAGAATCAGGGAGCTGTAATATTGTTGACAGGCTCAGTTCAAGAAAAAGAGATGATAGCAATAGTAGCAGACAAATTATTAGTAGCTGTGTTCTGCATGCACTAGCAAGATATTTACACACTCTCTGTCTCTCTAGAATTTCTCCTAATCCTTCAGCAAAACAGAAATGAAACTTCTTGTCACTTCAGTCTTTTGTCATGCTGTGAAACCAGCAGATACCCACAGCATCCTCACTTGTGTACAAAGAAGTCCAATTTTCCGGTTTGCCCTTCGATTAAGGTAAAGGGTAAAGTCTGCATATGAGCCAAGTGGCCCATCAAGACCATCAGATGCCATTAATGAAGCATCAACTAAAAATGACAGGTTGCATAAGTCTATTAAAGAAGAAGTGCTGAAAAATACTGGAAACCATTAATAGCCACCTTAATGTGGGAGAAAAATAGTAAAAATAGTATAACATGGGGGCAGAATACAGCCACTTGAAAATACTACTATCATTACCTTAACATGTTTAGGACATTCAAAGCAATCATACCAGCTAACACTTTGCTAGTGGACTGAAAGTTCATGTTTAAGCCCTAATATTTTACTGGTCAATAATAATTATTTACCTGTGGGTCCCAGAGCTCACTGGCCACTCCAAGGTCTTTACAACACCTCATTAAAGCATTAGACTTAGCAGATTCCATAGCTCTTCCATACACCATATTATTGGTTGAATAAAATGTGTGTTCACCAACTGTCTGCGCCACAAATCTTCCTAAACAAAATAGTGCATACTCCCGCACAATCAGCTGGCTGTTATCTCTGTCATTCTGTAATTCACAAACATTCATTAGTAAACACGTATACAAATTACACTAGTAGTGGGCTTCAAAAGTTTCATTTAGGCTGAGAAACTTTTACTAAACGCCCTTGCGAAGTTAAGACATTACGCTGACATTTTAGTTCTACTTGGTTTTTAAAAACACCCTACAGGTACAAAAGTTAGTAACCAATAAGAGAATGGTATTCATGATAAATTGCTCATAGTTTTTATATTCTTATGATAATTAACAATCAGATTATGAGCTTTAGATTTCTATGTGTTGATAGTTCATGTTGATGTGGCTGAAGGATGAATCAACTATCACCTCATAGAAATTGAGTTCTTTGTTTCTCTACATATTAAGCTTCACACCTTTGAAAAATCACTTGGACTGAATTTTCATTTGAAATGCATGACTATCAGTTTTTTTTTTTTTCAATAATGCAGGGTTGTAAGTAAGTGCCTGCCACTGGCTAAAAAGATGGCTACCGGTACTTCCATTTCTGAGCCGCCAACTTCTTATAAAAAAAATATAGTTAAAATTACAGTATTTAGAGAGGAAGCCACATCAGTCTTAGTTTCATACAGGTCCTCTATCCTGGTCGAATTTGGAGAAGTTGGGTTTTGTGGAGGGAGGAAAACGGAAGAACCCAGAGCAAAACCCTCGTAGCAAGGCAAGAACCAACAAACTCAACCCACATATGGCACCGGGCTGAAATCAAACCTGGACCACATTGGTGGGGGATGAGCGCTCTCACTGTCGTGTCATCCCTGCTCCTCGATATAATACATGTGTAAGTTGTAAAGAGTAATTTAGGGAAAACACAGGTTTTTTGACGTGACTGAACCTTGACTGTCCTTGTCTCAGGGCAGTCAGGGCTGTTGCTAGAGAGAGCGCATGGGATCAGGATATGGTGTAGAATTCAACTAAAACTCAATAGAAACACAAAGTTAGCAAAAGCTGTTGACAAAATGATGGAATGAGCGAAGAGAATTTACAGTTCGAAAACCAAAATCATTTCCCAGCATTTTTCTAAGAGAAATAGAAAACTGGTCAGTGTAAAACGCAGACTGCAGACTACGTACTGCAGACTGGGGGTAAAATGCAGACTGCAGACTGCAGACCAGGGGTAGAATGCAGACTACAGACTGATGACCTTTTAACTGAATTGTATTACCATTTCCATCAATAAGAGCAAACCGTAACAGGCTGAAGCATTATTTAGGCTAACCTGAGTGGTATTCAGTCTAACTGGAGTGCAGTCTTTCATTATGATTAGCCTGAATAACGCTGTCTATGGTTAGCACTTGATTTTGGAAGTAAGTCCGCAGTCTGCATTATACACTGACCGAATAGAAAACATTTTCTCCGTTTCTATTGAGTTTTAGAAACACCCTTCTCATACTCATTTATAATTCACTGAGTTTAAACAAAGGAAATCAAGACCATAACAGTCTCTTGATATCTGATCTTAATAAGCATAGATTTTCTCCTTAGTTTTAGATTTGATTGAGAAGGTATATCAAACACTCAAGACTCTCAGTGTTTGACCACATTTACAAACACCTCAAAGTTTGTCACAAATACTCTGCTACACATCATATTTTCAACTCTCTTCTTGCTGTTTGGAATTGTGGTCAAACATGGTCTTTCTTGTTTGATATATTGTGTGAAAGTTTGGGAGAACTCCAAAAAGCTGTGGAAACACTCACCTGAAACTCATATTACCACATCATTTCTCACTCTCCCAAACTTCTACTTGTGTTTCTGTAACTCAAGACAAATGCAACGAGGAAAATGTTTTCTTGATAAAGAATTGTCCACCTCTAGAATTCCAATTCCCATTAACCTTTCATTACTGCTTGCTTGCAGAAGAAATTCAAACACAATTGTACTCTGATGGTACTTCTCAGGGCATACAGTAACTCTCTTGGACAACCATATTACAAGACTGGTCAACCAAACACCAGATAAAATCACTTCAGAATTATATGCAGATGCCCCAACAATTTGGCTGTATCACATATGATGTGTTAAGATTTATAAAAATCAGGGGGAAAATGATTAAGGTAATCGTGGCTTTAACAAGGGTAAATATAAATCTGCTCAGAGTCACTCATAGTTGATTAAGATATCAGTAATTTCATTTTACCTGAAATTGAAGAGATTCTCCCCTGGGCACTAATGCCCAACCTCCTGGTCCAAATGCTTTATTAAGTATTCTTCTGTATTTTATTTCAGGAATATAGATCAACCCTGTGCAGAAATATCATATCATTAACCTGAGCTCCACATGTATAAATTAAATAAGTATAAAATTAATACTAACTAACTGTAACAAACTTTAACTCAAAATGGTCAAGTATACTAATTTACCATCTGGTTTGATCTCAACATCTGTCTCATTGATTGGTGACATCAGAACTTGGGTAATTTCACGGCTAAATGGTGTGGTTGCAGCTCCTGAGAAAGCATCTGGCAACCTTAAAGAAATATGAAAACAAAATATACTCTATTCTGAGAGCCAAGAACCTTTTCGTCACATTTCCTGGAACCATAACCTTGTTGTCAAAAGCACTAAAATTTATTGGTTTGGTGTGTTCTGTCTTTGATAAATTCCAAAAAACTAGCTCAGTTTGACTTTGTTATATTTAAATATTTTACTATGTTAAGTTTCAGGAATGTACAAATCAGAACTAGCAAACTTCTTAGTTTGATGTTACAGATTACCAGAGCAGCCACCCCCCTACACAGACACATTTCGTTTAAAGAACATAGTTTGACCAATTTTGGAGAGAAATTGGTGTGCTTTTTTGTAAATTTTGTGGTGAAATTGGAAGAGCTCTTATAGGGGGATCAAATTTAACTTGTTGATGTACCCTGGGGAGGTGGGACTTTGACTTTCATGATTATTATTGGGGTGACAAATTTGACACTATATGGAAAGAGGGGACAAATTTCAACAAGTTGCCTTGAAATAACAGTGAAGCTCTAGAAGACATCCAGAGACAACACCATCCTTTGTAACGTGGTGAAAGGAGATCAAGAACTTCAAAGCTTTGTGCTCTTTGAACCTCAATAAAAAGTTAACCTTGTGAAAATTTCATCACTTTTAAAAATAAGCCTATGTAAAATCAATTCATAGGCAGTACATTTACCTTAAGCTCATTCCTGAAGGGGGCATTACCCCCAGAAAAATTGGGTTGGGGGTGTGAGGCATGCTTTGCAAAAACCTTACCCTATTTTAGACCAAAATCTGTGATTTTCCCTTCCCTCTTTATGAGCTGACCAAAAATCTGATACCATACTTAAGACCTGACCCTTAAATCAATGCCCTGTTTTAGACCTGCCTAAAAATTAGTTCCCTAGTTTAGACTTATGTTAAAGGCACTGTTTATTTATTTATAACAACTTAATTTGCGTCAAGATATACACGCAAATAGAGTGCCAGCAGGGAAGAACTTGATACTCATATAACCATGCTTTTATTATACAGTAAAATCCTACGTTAAAGCCCCCCGATTATAATACCCCCAGATATAGGCCCTACTATTTGTTAACAAAGATGTTTCTCCGTCTATAAGCCCCCTGGTTATTTTATTCCACGTATATGCCCCCCAGATATACCCCCCCCCCTCCCCCGTTTATAAGTCCACTCAAAACTCCTTATGAAGTTATATAAGCCCAGGGCTTTAACGTGGGATTTTACGGTATGCTTTTATCGAGTAGGATAGCTTTTTCTAAAAAAATACAAATTCAAGGCTAGAGTGCAAAAACCACACCTTAATGTGAGACCAAGATGGCCAAAATCGATACGCTATTTCTGACCAAAACAGCTAAAAACCATACCCTTTGGGGCCGCCCATACCTATATAGCCCATATAAGGGAGTGCCCCCGGAAAAATTATCGCTATCTGTCAGTGTAACTTTAAGCTAAACGGATATTTTAAAAACACTTAAAAATAAATATAGGCTTAAGACACTTAAGTTAAGCTTATATGCTACAAAGTACTATGCCCAGGGTAAGAAGCATGATTTCAGTGGAGTCTTCACCTATCGACAGAGTTACTTGCTGGTGGAAATCCTGTGGAGGACGTTTCTTCCTCTTCGGTGGGGCTCCTTGTTCCATTCTCGCCATGCTGTTCAGTTGACGAAAATCTCGTAGAAACTCTCGCGACCCGAGCATGAACATGAGTTAACATCGAAAGCCTTCGAACACCTCTCACTAGTCCCGCCATTTTGACTCTTGATTCTCAGTATAGGGACTGGGTACAACTTGGTGTTCTCGTCCCAGTGCTCTCCAGGCTAAGAGCGTCTGCGTGGAGAGACTAGGTACCACACCCTTAACCCCGAGGAAGAAAATCAACCTAAATTAAATTTTCCTAATCCCGGATTGGCAACAGTCGTTTTAAAAGGGAACCAAGAAACTGCGCAGGTAATTTCACACGCCACGTCATATCTAAGAGCGCATTCTTCAGCAGGTGGCAGGTTTAATCAGCCGGTGTCAGGTCACAATACAGTTCTAGGGTACAAAATATATTTAGTAAATAAACCCCTTCTGGCGCCTGGTATGTCGGCTGATAATGTCCGCAGCTGAGATATTGTCCAAAAAATGAATATTTGGCTGAGGAGCGAAGCTTCGAGGGCAAATGCGAAATTTTGAGGACAGTCTCTCAGCCAAGGACATTATCAGCCAACATACCAGCGAGCCAGAAAGGGGTTTATTTATTTTATAACCCTCCCATTAATTTTCTGCATATTTTGTCGACTTTTTTGTACTTATCGGAACAGCTTGGCGACCAGTGTTTCTTTTTAATGTCATTATCAGCGGATTCCACGAAAAGAGTTTGTTTTTCTTCCATGAAAAATAATAAAGATGAAAAGGTGAAATTCTAGAACTGGATTTATTCTTTTTAGCTTTGTTTCTTTTCAACAGAAACAGTCGCAGGACAATTATCGACGCAGGCGGAGGTTATTGCGTGATAACTGCCCAGTAATTTTGCACCACGTGACACAAAGTAGCCAATAGAATTGCGCGAAATTTAAGCGTGGGTTATAATTTATAATAATCTTTTAGTCTTTAACCTTTTTAGAGTGTATACCTTGCCATGGTTTGGAGTCAAGTCTTAGCCATGAAAAAAGTTTGAAAAAATGGTGTATTTCCAGGTGTACCCCCGCCTTAAACGTTCGGTGACCCCTACTTTTCTTTCCAGAAACATTGTCCAAAAATGAACAAAAAATCAACGTGGGAAGTAAAAAAAAATTCTAAGATTTCTGTCCACAGGACATCGAATCCTGCCATCTTGCGGCTGCAAGGTGGGTAAAACTATGGTCGCTAAATGCGAGCTTGGTCTTTAAAAGGAACATCACCAGTTGACCAAATTCACTTAATAGGCCCTTTGCACGATCCGGTAACAAGGTACGAAATTAACTATGCTGGGACGTAAGTTACACAGTGGGACTTCCAAACCAAAGGAAAGCCGGGCTGGACTGGTACGAGTTCCTTTGTTTTGGAAGTCCTATTTACCAGATTAACATTTATTCTGTTACAGACGTTTGCACGAACTAAACTTAAAAACGATGCCTTGACT